TTTTCTTTTACAAATCCTTAATTACTCTATACTTCTAACAAAACATGCTACTGACAAAACCTCTTCAGTGTTGCCTTACCAATAACAGTCATGCTTTTATAGATTTCCTTCCGATCCGATGTGATGCATGTTCTGGAACATTTTGGTAAGTTCTGTATTTTCCAACATTTCTTCAACTATTCCTTTTGACTCTTTGCCCTATGAGCTTTCCAATTTTTAGTGCTGTCGCACTACACCTACGAAGGACATAATTGTAAAAATGCTTACAAAAAGGTTGGTAAATTTCTTTGGTTGTTGACAAGATTATTCGCTCATCATCTTGCAAATTCTGTTTTGATTCCGAGATTTGGTCAGAAAAATAGCTCTCCGCTCTGTCTAACTCATGGGTATGGGGGGTGCGAGGGAAGAGAATATAAAGAGTGGAACCACCTAATCTTATAGTTTTTCATTGTCGTTTCCTATGGTGTACTTCCCGTATGTACAATTTATGTGTTATTTATTTTGCAGAATGTGCAAGTACCCACCTGTCCTCTGTGTGATAAACCTGTGCCTACCCCAAAAGGAGTTTCTCCGGATGTTCAAGTGAGTTCTAGCGTTTGACTGACCTGTTTTGTTGTACTATGGGGCTTTGTTTAGGTAAATGAGCATATTCAAAACAATTGTGCTCAAGGTGCGAAGAAGAAAATCTTTGCGAACAGATGCACCGTAAAAGGGTGTAAAAAGAAAGAGGTCAGTTCTTTTCGCTGGCAGCTCATTCCGCGTGAGATCATGGACTCTCTACTAGCGTGTTGACTGCTCTGGATCATTGTTTTCAGCTTGTCCCATCACTTGTCCCTCATGCCACCAGAACTTCTGCCTTGGTCATCGCCACGAGATAGATCACAACTGCACACAAGTCAAGGGCAGTCCTGCTCTCTCAAGAGCTGCGTGAGTTTCCTAAAAACCAAGCTTCAACTCTTTTTCTTGAGATTTGATGATTGATAATGAGTTCTGATGAACACTGAGCCTATCAAGGTGTTAATTTCAGAGCTGCTGCTATGGCGAGAAACCAAGGAGGACAAAATTGTGCTAGCCAAGCGAGGAGTTCGGTACGTTTTTGCATTGAATTCGTTTTTTGTTGGTGGTGAAAAAATGGTGAAAGCCTTATCACTTTCTAGCTCCCGTAGCTGTGTTTACATGGTACTGAAGGACAAGTATCAAGTCTTCGCCCTTAATTAGTCTTTTTGTGGGGGCGGCACGAATTACTTCCATTCGGTATCCTAACGGCTCGACTATACAATGACTTGCATGGCCACTCGATGTACAGACAGTGTACTTATCTTCCCAGACTGATCTGATACCAATCCACCGTGCGCAGAGGGTATAGGGCTTGGTTGGCCTGGGCCAGGCATTTGATTCTAATCCAGGCATTCGATCCGCGGAATGTGCTCGTTTTAGGCATGCTCTTTGCAACTACACCACCCCCGCCTCAGGAACTTGTTAATTTAGCAAATGAAACATCTACATTTGGAAGCTTTGCGCCACCGCTCATTTCAGATCTTGATTTCTTGCTTCCTTTTATGTGTAGCCTCATTCCAGCAAATGTCCGAAGATGAAGCTTTGGCAAGAGCCTTAGCAGAGTCTATGAATGATGTCAATATCAGCCCTGAAGAGCGAGATAGAAGGTTGGCTGAACAGCTGCAGGCTCAAGAGTATGGGTCAGTTCCTTATATGACGTTACTTGATGCATTCCTCTGTGAATTGAAATCAAAACAGGTCGGTATATATTGGTATTTAGCCGCAACCCAACTGGCCAGCGCAACACGAGAGCCGTGCCTGGTAATTCTAATAACTGCTCTATATCATGATCTTTTTTGTGGTCTTCCCCACTTAATTCTTCATTCACTCAAGCACATCACGGTTGAACCGGTAAATATAGAGTATCGTTACTTTGCTAGCCTAGAACATGTAACCTCGATTTTCGAGACCAAACTCGGCAGTTTTTGCGTGTAAAATCTAAGGTTTGAGGCATGTATGTCATAGGGTCGGTGGGCTGCTTGAGCTCGGTCCCACACAGGTTTTCTCCCCTTCTCTAAGCCATGTTGTCCCCACAGCGCTTCCTTACTACTGGTACAGTTCACATTCCACCTCATGATCTACTTCCCAGCAGAAGGTCTCTTCCCCTTAAATGAGGTCGTCCCCAGGCATCGCGCATTCGAAGTTCTAGAAGTTGCTCCCTTATCTCAGAACCTCTTCAACCTCTTCACTGGTTCGACCTTACTATTTGCCCCCCCCCCTTTCTTGGCTCCTTGATGCTGAAAAAAATCAGGAAGTCGTAGAACTGGTCTACGGCCATCTTGATCTCACTTCTTCCAAAGGTGTCAGTTCTGCCCCTGTCCGGGCTTCATTGTTACGTGTCGTTCTGGTGCGATCGTTTCAACACTGGACCTCAGTCACCCTGACTTTCCAAGCACGGTGGATGGGACAGTCACCACATTGTCTTCCCATTGAGGAAGCTCACCCCAGGTAACCCCTTTCTACCGTAATTGTGGTCGCCCGCCAACTATCACAGTTCATAGAGGAAGGCTTACGTCGCGCAATGTTCAGCACACTAAACACGCCCCACCATTCGTTAGAACAAGACTGTTTACCCACTGCGCGCCCAACATTCATGCATTGCCTCAAGCCCTTTACATTGAAGCATTTTAGAACTTTTCTGTGATGATCATTATTAGTTCATAAGTATAGCTTCTGGCATTACTTTTGTCACTTCTCAGTGGAATCTTCTTTTACTTATTATCACCTGCTGCTACTGTGTTCTTCCTTTTTTGTAAGTTTTCTGAGGATGTAATCATCTCATACGTTAAAATGTTCCAGTCCTACTAGTTCAAATTGAACAAAGTGATTCCTTCCGGTCTGGTGTGATGTTCTTTGCTCTTTCAAGTACTTTTCTTTCCACCCCCTTTCTTCTGCTAGTCAAATTTAGTATTGATCAAGTATTGATCACAGTGCCATATTTGGCAATTATTCTTTTCGCTGCAGTTCCTCGAAATTAACATAGGCTTGTGTTCTCATCTGACTTTCACTGATGTCTTCTTAAATTTGTCTTGGTAAATGATAATTGTTCCGCAAACCTCAATAACTAAAACAGTAAAACTGGGCTCACAGTATTCGGTGTTATTGTTACGTTCATAATGTGAAGGTTAGCGAAATATTTGTGATATAAGGCTCTCTTATTTATTTTCCATGTTTGGTAACGTTTTACATTTAGTAAAGCATATTTCGTTTGTCAAGGGTTTTTCCCTTATACAGCGCATGTCACTTAGTCACAACGGACGAGCGCGAGACGGCGAGGGTCCAGACGAGAAACAGGTAGAGACGTACGCCTAAGAGAGGAGTAGGCAACCGCCACCGGGACGTATCTTTCCGGTTTCCTATAGAGAGGATAGGTCGGTATTTACGTCTAAAGCGCAGTAAAACTTGATGGGAGGGGGAGGGATGAGTTGCATCGCGCTGGCGTGCTCAATACGGAAGTCCTGTTGTGCTAGGAATTACTGTTCGGAAAAGAAAAGTTTGTAGGGAAAATAGCAAAAGTTGCTGAGTTAACCCATTAAAGCTCTAAGGTCTGTGACAATCACGAATGAAAACTGGAGGGACATTATAAGCAAGAACAATGAAATAGGGCAAATTGGCCACGCAGCGAAGAAAAAGCAAAATGAATTGTTGGCACTATTGAACTATTCCTACCCCAGTCTGCCGAAATCAGGCCGGTTTTTTATCGACTTTTTTCTACAAGGGCAGATTTGGATGAAAATTCCGTTTATGGAGGTACTTCGACCTCCTGAACACGAATGTTCACATCCGCTTCGCCCGAAACCGCCTGGCGCCGGCGCCAAAACACCCTAAATCACCAAAGTCGATATGAAACTGTATACAGGGGTTATTTGACATCCTGATCACGCGACATGAACATTTTATTCTTGGCGCACCCGGCCTACACATAGGACCTATTGGGCATCTGCGCTTTGCTTTAGACTGTGCCTTGGCTTAAAGAATCGCGTCCTTTCTCAGGTTCGGTCTTAGCAGAACGCTCACTGGCCTGGTCTGGAAAAATAAATGCCATACTCGTAATGAGGGCATCAAACAACCCTATTACGCAAGTTTTTATCGAATTTGGGAAGAAAAGGTATAGAGCGGAATGGGCGCCTAGTGGCGCTAGATGGCGCCAGCGTCAGAAATAAATGCCATATTCGTGATTTAGAATTGTCATTTAACCCCCGTGTATACATTTGCACCAAAATTTGGCGAAGAAAAAATTTTTCGCCATGTTCGGTGCAAACGCTGAGATGACGTCAGCGCCAGAAATAAATGTTATATCCGTGAACAGGACATCGAGCAACACCTAAAGGCAAAGTTTCAGCGAAAATTTTTCTTTCGATTTTCTGGGGTAGGATTAGTTAAGTAGTGCCGAATTGTTTAATGCTCCAAATGAGACCTTCCTTTCTACAGTTGATTCCAAGTCCGTTACCGACAAAGAGACTGGGCGCGACGAGCGAGGAACAAAGGAGCAGTGCAGACCGCATTAGTGTGTGGCTCGCGATCGCAGTTTGAATACGTGAGGTCCATGTATGAATTCGTAGATGCTAACACAGCTGCTTTAAAGGCAACTGCAAGATAAATCCCTAAGACGAGTAGAATGCAAGTATGCTGGCATGACTGGAATTCCCCCCCCCTGAGCCTCGCTGCGTAGGGGCCTTTCCCAAGGGAAGTGCTCCCTCTAAGGCCCTATCAAGAATACGCGACCAGGTCGCGCCACCGCGGCCACCAGTCCCAAATGACGAAATGCACACCTCATGCTCGTATTGCTTCATTTGCGAAGTACGATATGAAGCGGCCGTGGTGCTGCATAGATAACCTCGTCATCCGTGCAGTTGATTAGGGCGGTCGTTACGGGCCGCAGACGCGGCTGCAAGCAGCGATCCGCGTGCTAGGAAATTAGTTTTGCTTTTTCCAGCCTAATTTAGTCATTTTTCCCCCTACCTTTCACTGCTTTTGGCTGCGTTTTTCAAGGCTAGCAGTTCCTTGGCTTCATAAGGTGAATTATAACTGGGAATCTTTATAACTTTTGCGAACAATTAAACGATTAAACAAATAATTAGACAAATGCCTAAAGAAAATCGCGAAAAACCTATCATTACGAGAAGAAAATGAAAGAAATCCGTAGGTTAATACACTTCATAAAGACAATTATGTAAATTAACTCGAAAAAAAATAGGAAATGCAGTGAAAATTAGGAAAAAAAATTGCAAAATTAGGATGGAAACAGCTGATACTCGCCAGTCGTGACGTCTGGCAGCGCCGTCGGCTACATCTGGGGCAGGCTAATCAACTGCCCGGATGACGACGATATATGAGTGCGTATAGCGGTATCTGCCATAGCGGTTATTGGCAAGATGCCTATGGGAAACTCGTCCGGAACTGCTTCCTGAGTCATTAAGAACGAAGGCTTTTATTCGCAGATTTTGACCTTTTCACTTCGTTTTTTCACCATTTTCACACTATATAGCACAGTGCTAAGTATTTAGGCCGAGTACCAAATTATCGTGCCGTATGCCTTTAATACTTTGCCTAACTGGTTGAAGTCGCTCGATGTGATTCCTGATGGAAGTGCGACCGACCGCGTTCTACGGATGATTTTCTAATCGCTGCTAATGTTGAGTCAAAGACGTTCAGGGTGGGGCGGTCCTCAGAAAACCTGGAGAGTTACCAGATCTGGCTTAGCCGAAACATGACTGAAATCAAAATTATTCTTGGCACGATTGTCCAGAAGCGCATTCCGCATTCAAGCAAAAGCTCGCTAATGGGGCGCAGGTGCACCTATTCTTCGAGCTATAATTGCTTCCAGTAACTCGTGCAGTGCAGCTACTCTCAAGAGTGATAACAAACCGCGTCGTGCAAGGGAGGGAACAGGGATCATCGTTGTGGAGTCGTCATGGAGGGGGCCGTGATTGACCGATAGCTTACTGGGTAGGAGAGGAAGAAGGAAGTGCTCACCAGGCGTCATGGGTGAAGTTGTTCGCCAGGCTCCGTCTATCAGTAAGCTGCATATGAGTTTTGTTTCAGTTGAGGGCACGCTCGTAATTGTGCCCCAGTGCTCGACAGCGTCAGTGATTACTCGACGTGCAGAAGACCTTCATTGTACGAAGTTGCGTGATTAGTGATCACAGAGCATGTCCGCATTCGCGACCCGGCTCGATAAAGTGGCCACGGCATGGGTGCCAATAACCCAGCTCGCGCCCAGCGTTGCAGTGGACCCTCCTGTTGTTCATAAGTGTTCCAGGTTCGAACCCGATAATCTTGGCATCTTGTAGTTCTTTCTAGGGTATTGCTGTAGCCGTGACCAAGATGATATAACAGTTTTATTGGCTAACGTTTCGGCCTTATCGCCTTCGTCAGAGCCTGGAAAAAGTCAAAAATCAGAGTGAAACTACCCTCGGACATGATTGTCCGAGGGTAGTTTCACTTCTGATTTTTGACTTTTTTCCAGGCTCTGACGAAGGCGATAAGGCCGAAACGTTAGCCAATAAAACTGTTATATCATCTTGGTCACGGCTACAGCAATACCCTAGAAAGAACTCCTGTTTTTCGCTTTACCATCGCAGTGTAGCGGTCGGGTCCCGTTCATTTTTATGTCCTCTAGCCATAACCATCGTAAGCTCTTTTCTACGCTCTGTCTCTCTGCGCCGTATGTTTATATGAAACTCAGAGTCAGCAGAATCTCATTTGGGGCGTTTTCAACGGTTTGATTTTGCTTTTTCCTTCACTAATCTCCCAACCGCTGCATGATCGAATGATTCCCATCCCAGGA